TCTTGTTAACATAGAAGAGCAGAAGGCTTCTCTCATAGTGCACAGCTGTAGCCAAAGACAAGAGAGTAAACACAGCAGATAACACCCACAGAAAAAAAGAACTCGCTATAAATCTAAATATAACATTAACCTCAAAAAACTGTTTTGATGCCTGGAAGGTTCTGGGTTACAGTTAACGAATCCATAAAGATTCCCCTTGGTTTACTTTTATTTTTCTATCTCCTTGTCTAATGGATAGGAGTAGAGTCAATCTAAAATGCATTTCATGTAGCATGTCTAGTGATTGAATAATTAGCATTACGGTTGAAAACTGAAATTGATGCTCTACTTATGTATTATATAAACATCCCTTGGTCCTACCTATAAAGAAATCCTTGCATGACATCCAACATTTTCATTTTCTAACACAATAACATCAATGTTCCTATAGTATTATTAACATATACTATAACATGTGGAGTTCTTACACTAGCAAATCATCTCCAAAAGGACGGCTGATTTGATCTGTTTGACACCCTGACAAAGCTTTATGTCAAAACGCATCAGAAAGGGTTTGGTCTTTAGGTTGATTGCTATGTTAATAAATCACAATCTCTGCTAAAGGTCAGAAATGAAATTACACAGATTGACTAGGTTAACCTATTAGGTGACTTCTGAGAGCAAATGGTTGCATCAGAGTTAATAGGGTTGTCAGTTTAGGGTTGAATATCAAGATACTAAACAATAAAAGTACAATGCCAAATGGAGAAGTACTAAACCAAAGCAGTTTTAAATGTTCTATTTTTTAAAACACAATTTGAATATCTGTTTAATTGAAAACTACAGTTTTACATCTGGTTATACTGTTGATCAACAAGGCTGGATAAAAGCATTGCCGTCATACTTTTCAGAACATCCAGTCTTAAAATCATGCATGAATATGTTAGTTTATTTTAAGATGGAAAGCTTTACACTTTATCTATATATTTATAAGTGTTTATCTGGGCAAAAATGCAGTGTTGACTCATTTATGTAAAAGGAAATCCGTGGCAGGGTTTCGACAAAAACCTACATTTTCAATTGCTACTTCAACACAATAATATAAACAGGTAAATCTAAAAAAAAATTAAATTTTAGTTTGAGCTATGTAAGTAAATTTGGATCACTGACTGATTCAGATTTTAGCTGGTGCAGTAGACAAAAAGCTATACATGGTTGCAAACCCAAAATGTTGTACAAGGTGCTCTGTTGGAATAGGACCAAATGTGACTTGTTTGGCCTACAGACAAAACCCTTCATGTGGTTGAAAAGAAACTTTGCATCACCCCAATGCTGCGGTACAGCACAACCCTCTAGGCGGTGCTTTTCCTCCAGGATTGCAGGAGGATGGTGGAAGGTGAAGAGAAGTAAACAAAGGATAGGCTAATTCCAGAAAAACAACTTGTTAGAGACTGCAAAAACTTCAGGTTCGCCTTCCAGTTATATGTCAACATAAAGTTTCCCTTACAATAATGATATACAAACCCTCCTATCTCTGTGGCTGATGAAGTCTAATTTAAAACAGGACTGCAATAACTTTGCAAAGTTTTTTTACTCAGCAAATACAAGGTAATAGAAAAGCAGTCTGCATATCAATACCAACACCGGTACCAATACTGTCTCCAGTTAAAATAAACTCAACTGTTCATCAGATAATCTCCTATTCATCTTGTCTTGATGTTTTACCCACAAGTTTTATTTCTTTGGGTAAAAAAAATATCTATTATACATTATTTAAAAAAAGATAATAATACATTGTTTTATTCATGATGAAAAGTTCTTACACCAGCCCCCTGTAGCTCAGAGAATATACTTTAAAATCATTTTGTTATTCTATAAATCACTGAATGGATCAGCACCTCAATACATAACAGATTTATTGTCAGTGTATCAACCTCCTAGACCACTCTGGAGTTGTTTTGGTTCAGGGGAACCTTAATAAAGTTCAGCTAAGAAATAACTTGTCCATTCTGTCTGACTTAAGACTGAGCAAGAAGAACAGGATGAAACATAGTTTTTATTCTTATTTCTTCCTATTAGTTAATCTATTGACAGAAAACTATCTTGTTTGTTGCACTTGACCTAAAATTTATTATAAATGACTTAAACTGCCTTTAAACCACTTCAGACTTGACTTGAATATGATACCAAACAACTTAATAAATGACTTGGACTTGTTACTAAAAGACCTTTGGCCTGGCATGGATTTGGCCCACAAAGACTAGACTGGACTTTGATATAGCATGCAGCAACTGGACATAACTGAACCCTTAAAGACTTGAAACTTGAATGGAACTATTCCAAGAATAAAAAAAAAAAAAAGATCCTGACTTAGACTGGTTGTTTAAAGACTTGGGGCTTAGCTTGGATTTGGAGCTAAAAGAAAACCATGTAATTGCCCCTTTTGACTTTAGACTTCACCATACTTAACACTCATAAGCCTGGCACTTGGCTTTGACTTGCTACCCAAATGACTTGTGAAGATATCTGAAAATAAGATCTAAAAAATTTGAACTTGTATTTACACCTTTTAATTTGAAAAGAAAAGTACAGTTCCGCTGCCTCCACATATTCTCAAGCAATAGCTTCTTTTGACATGAAGGATAGGAAAATATTTTGAATACAATTTTATACCTTCTTATATCTTGTCTCCTATAGAAAAATCTTAACTGTTTTCTGTGTTTGGTATCTGCAGATCCAAGCCTCAGCAATTTTGTAAAATAACTACAAAAATAGTAATATATGAACTTTATTGATCTCCCATTGGAGAAATTTACCTCTGTATTTAACCCCTCCCCTTGGGGAGCAGTGGGCTGCCATTGTGGGGTGCCCGGGGAGCAGTGTGGGGTTAAGGGTCTTGCTCAGAGAGCCAGAGTGGCAGTCTGAGGGAGTAGGTCTTGAACTCAGAACTTCAGGATTCCAAGCTGTATGCCCTAACCACTAGGCCACCACTCCCACAGGCGAATATTCTGATTAATCAATCTGTAATGAGAGTAATGATGTATTTTAGGAGAATTAGAGCAGAATCAGTTAAATCTAGAAAATTTCGCTAAAGTTTAAATTTTTTGGAACTTTCTTCTATGTGTGTAGAAGTGAGCCTGAACTGGTTTTATTAAAGCTATTGTAGCACAGAAGGAAATTTAATTCAAACTAAAAGTAAGTTTTTTCCCTGCATTTTGACACACTATGCAATTAGATGAGATATAATAACAAGCTTTGGTTGAAGCTTTTGGTTAGCTGAAAAAAATTTTGTAGGCTGTAAAACAGACTAACAAAGGTGAAAAACCTCTCTACAAATACCAGAATCAGACCACCCTACGGTTCCCCACTACTGCTCTTACTGTGTGACTGACAGGTCAGCTCAATCCCTCTGGGACTGCAGCAGGAAAGTAAATGATTTAATGTTCCTCCTGTAGGAAGGAGGTCATTGCTCCACAGGAGGAGGACATGAACAGCCTAATCAGGCTCGCTGCAGATGAAATCAAATGGATGGAAAAGAGAACTGCAGTCTGGAAGCTCAGGGTTATGGCCCTGTCAAATGTGTGTTGATAAGAACACAGGCTGAGGTAGCCTCTGTGGACTCCTCTAGTATGGTAAACAGAGTTTAATTTCTTGGACATATTAATTCCCATCAAATGACTGTATGTGAATATATCACCATCCTAAATGGAGATAATGAAGCAGTTTTACTTTAGATAAATGATTAACTGTCTCTTCCTTAAAGAAAACATCCTCTATGCGGTTGTGTCCAAAACCCTAGATCATCATAGCTAAATGATTATAGTCCCAATGCACTGACATCTCTGGTACCAGTGCTTTGAGCGCACAGTTAAAAGGGCTATACTTTCTCAATTACAGCATCTCCTACACCACCCACAGTCTGCAAGGGGAGGATGCTGTTCTCACCATGCTGTAATTACTCTGGTTCCATCTTAAAAGACCAAAACTTCATGCACACAAAATCAAAAGACTCCTGCTTTTAGGAAGCTTCAGTTTTTCTCCTCACATTCATTACCAGAGCAGATAGAGACTGTCTCAAGTTACAAATATCTGGCCATAGGTTTTGAAGTGGGATTTCTGGGCAGACTTTTTTATAGCTCCAAGGCTCAGCAGGGATTGTACTTTATAAAGAAACTGAGGTCGTTTAGAGTTAAAAACGCCTTAATACAGCTTTTGTTATATTCTTGTGATGTTATACAAGAATATAACATCACACAGTGATGTTATATTCTTTTTTTCATAAAAATCCAGTTATTAATATCAAATTGCTTGATGTATAAAAGTACCATGTTTATCATTTTAAAAAATCAACCTTCTTCCATGGCCATCTTATTTCCGGATATGCAAATTCTGTTAAATAAACATAGGATCAAGAGAGAGGGCAAAGAACACTATCAAAACATGTTGTTCAAGGAAGGAATGGTGGAAGTTCCATGCCTGTGTATGCTTCAACCTTGTGAAATACAACTGGAGAAGACCAGGCACTGTGCTAAGGGCCAGAGGGAGCTTTACAGCATCTGACAGCAGGAGTGCCAATAAGAAAAGCATTCCCTATTAGTGGAATTACTCCTCTGTGAGATCAATAAAGTCTATCTTATCTTATCTTAGCTTATCTTATCTTAATACAGGAATTTTAGGTACTGAACAAATGTGTGATGTTAGGTATTTTGAATACATTATCCCGAATATATGTCATCTTGACAGAGACACAGATTCTAATAATGACAGCGTTAACAAAAACACAGATACACTATAACTCTGCAGGTGATGCCATTTGGCTTTGTTAGACAGAGTCCTATTCAGACAACAAGCCAATCAATTCATTGAGTATTTTTGGAGTAGCAATGCCAAAAAAGCTGTTAGGTATAATGTTAAAATGAATTCCAGCACCTCAGTAAGGACATAAGCACATTATGTAGCTTTCAAGATGACTTAAGCGATATCCATTTTCCTAATAAGCTTTAGAGCCATTGTCTCCTTACCTCCTCCGCTCTCTTTCTCCTCTTCCTCGATGCTGTTCTTGATGCTGTCGTACTCCTCATCTATGTTCTGGTTGCCTCGGATCTGGCTGAGCACCCGGCGTGCCTTCTGGGTCAACCCGCACTGGATCAGCCAACGAGGGCTCTCAGGCAGGAAGAGGAATCCGATGAACTGGAGCAAACCAGGAAGCACAGACAGACCCAGCATGTACCTAAAGATGGAGGGAACATGCAGAATGTGCTGTAAATGATTTGATTAAAAATGGAGGATTGACTTTATATAAAGCAATTGGCGTGAGGTGGGGAAATTGAACAACAGCAGAATTACGGTTCATTAAATAATCTGGCTAAAAAACTAATAAAGCAATTCAGATTTCATTTAGTTGACTCCCTTAGCATTTAAGCTAAACTGTTTTTAAAGGTGTGTGCTGTCTAATGCATTCATACTAAAATTTGTCACAGAAATTAGTTTGGTGCATGGAGACGGAAATGAAAAACGTTACAAACGTCTCAAAATACTCTACACAAAAGCAATGCAGATGTAATGCAAGAATGCACACAGCATTTTAGACATTGGATATTCAAACAGGGATAGTAAATTAATTTTGAATTCAAGGACTAGTATCAGAATTCCTGGATAAAAGAGTTTTTTACTTGTGTTAGTGGATTTGGAGTCGACACATGACCAAAATCATGATAGGTCCTGGAGTAGGTTAAGTTCAAATGCTGAGTGGGGTTGGAAAAAATACACCATTCATTAACAAGAATTAAAATATAGAGTAGTTACAAGATAAATAGATTAGAATAAAGAAAATATATAAGGGTTTTTATTTTTTCAGTGAGTCAGGAAACATTTATAAGTCTAAACTCATATTTCCCCTAAAAGCCATTATCATGCATGAATCACACCAATCAGCAGCACCTTTCTGTACGACTTCCACCCTACAGTACCTATCAGACCGACGTCTGAAGCAATCCTTTTTTAAAAAAGGACTAAAGGTAGTAATCCTGGAGGCTTTAAAACTGCAATGAGTCTGACAACAGTAAAAAAAATGCAAATGGAGTAAGAAAAATAAAAAGATTGTGTGGAATCATGTTTTCCCTTGGCCTGTTTGTGAGATAAAATGTTTAAAGTGTGCCTTTTCTCTGCCTGAATAGAGTGATTATTTAGAAGCCTGAGAAGAAGAAGTTTCCTCCCTAGTTTAGATAAGACTGTCCTCACTGTGTTCAAGGTTCTCATGTCCTGTTTCTGGTCTGAATGGGAAACAGTTGTCTGAAATATTTATCTGACTAAATTTATGTCCTTGATGAACTGAAGAAACAATGTTCATGCGTGTGGAGTCTCTTTATATGCAGGGGTGTGATGCTACCACCCAAGACCCACACTAACAGTTTCAGCTGTTTGTGTCATTCTCCTCTTCCTTGCATATCAACTCTCAGTGTTCATTTTTACTTCACAATTGATAAAAAAAAGAACAGATGAAACAGGACAAATGGTGGAAAGTGGTATCTACCAATTGCAAAGAATGGTTGATGTTGGAAAAATGACAAGCTGTTCTGTGAGTATGTTGACAGTTAAAATGAGGCAATATTTATGAGAACTTAAAGAGAGAACAAGCATATATCAGACTATACAACATCTTAAAGATGGATGGATCCTTTCTGAATTTTATCCAATCATAAAATCACTTTGCTTTTCTTTTCTTGTAATTTATAGGTAGAACGTTGGAACGCAGCTCTCATAGTTACAGCAATCCATCTAAGCTTACTTTAAATATATGCAGAAAAAGTATCTGTGTAAAATTCTCTGTGGAAGTTTCTAAGTATTATTTGAAAGACTGAAAATGTTAGGTCTGGATGTCTGACCTCCATCCATCACGCCGCATGTAGCTGAAAGCGCCGTCAATGAGGCTGGCAGTGAACTGCCCCCCAGTGATGAAGAGAGTGTTAACAGTCACTAGCTGACCCCTGAGGTGGGGCGGAGAGGCTTCAGCGATGTACACGGGCACCGTCATGGAGGCGATACCTACAGAAGAGGAAATAAAGCAGAGGCAATGATTAAAGAAAAAACAGTTAAGAAACATGATGAGCTAAGGAATTGTTTCTGTTTAATCACAAAAGAACTGAGCATTCACCAGTAGAACATGAGATTCAGCGTTTACTGGATCAGTGTTTTGTTTTGTGGGGTTTTAAAATGATGAGTTGTTTGATGTCAAAAGTTTAGATCTGGTTCATCTGTTTCCTTTGGATATTTCTGTTCCAATAAGTGCTTGCAGACAAACTCTTAATTGGAAACATTTTAAGCTGATTTTTAAACTGAAGCTGAAGTTGCTCATTTCCTCCAACATATTGTCATTTCCACCTTAAATTAATACCTGTATTAAAAAAAATCTTTAATCATCAAAGTTAATTGGGTTTTTCCTTAGACATATACAGATTTTCAAGTTGTCCTGTACACAAACAGACAAACGCACACAAACTCTCCTAAAAAACATAAACTCCTTAGCAGAGGTAATAAATTCTTTAACATTTATGTTTCACTCATAATGTGTAGCTGAGTGAATAGAATATACTGCATTTTAAATTTTAAACTAGTTGATAAACTTTTCACTTATTTACCTTATACCCCATTTAGGATGCACCAATGATCCTAAATGGGGAGAAAACTTGAAAAAAAAAGTTTTCTTATTAAGATTATACACTGATGCATGCATACTCTCGCAGTATCTGGTCGATGGTCACATAACCCCCCTGGAACAATCTGTCTGCCCCTGATGCGCCTGACGATGTGCAATAAGACTGATACTCTCTGCTGCAGGCTCCTGATAGGCTCTATTAATAGAGAGCCAGCGCTTCCCTCAACCTCCCCAGCTCCTCCCCCCCTTCTACCTCCTGCCAACACCCTGCCCTAAACTGCCGCCATGACTACGTGGCTACCCGTTGCTATGGAGACCTCTTGCAGCAGGGGAACCAGCCACACTGTCTCCAAGCTTGCACCACACTGTGGCAGCTCTGGGAAGGCAAATCACTAACCAGGAAAAAGGGATTTTTATACTTTTTTTTTTGTGTGAAGGAAAAAAAGCCTTAATGTAAGCAAAACATCAAAAATAATTTAGTCAAACAAGTAATATCCCCAATTGGTGGTGCTAGTTTTAGCTTGGTGTTTAGTTAGATCAAAGCAGGGGCCATAATAACATTGTTTTAGGATTTCCAACTTGTTATCAATCCTTGTTAATGTCTGATGGCGGATATCCGAGATGCAGATCATTATCGGAATCTAATTAAACACTATAGCACAAAGCCTGTCTGCGCAGGCCAACAAGAAATCTGCTCATAAGGATTTAAAAAGACAGCTCAACATAAGAGACAGAGAATCCAACTAAAGTAAGGGGAATATATTTCTATATGGATAAATTATCAAACCCTAAACTTCATGGCTGGGTGTCCAGTCACCTTTTAAATCTCTGGAGGAGTTTGGGTCCACACTTCCTTGGTCATCTTCGGAGTTGTTGGAGGATGAAAGTTATGTTTAGGGTCATAAAACAGCATCCACTTAGACTGAACTCCAGATTTAAATCTAACCACAGTTAAATGAGTAAAAAATTTTTTGGATTTATTTGTTATACCTAAAATCCTTACAAAGGGAGAGAAGTTGTCAATTAATCCACATGAGCTTTAGTTACAGGTAAGAAATTTAGGTCCAGGTTGAATGGAGGGAGAGAGAGATGAGAATAAAAAAGTGTTTTTGTTGTTGTGCACTGGGATATTAAAGTTTGATACACAGAGCTATCCTGCCTTTTTTATAGTAACCATAAAAAAGCTAATCCTAATATACCAATATTTCAGAAACGGCCAAATAACATACATACAATCTAAAGGTAAAAGCTCACTATACACCTTTATCAGGGCTTGTTAATAAATGTAAAGGTTGTGGTATATATTTTATAGAAGGTGAATGCATACAATAGAAAGACAGAAAAAATGTAGAAAAAATGTCTCATTTGTTTTTATCAGCCTCTATCTGATGGCTTCATTGCGTTTCTCTCCTCCTTAGCTGCAACTCATTTCCTCAGATTAGCTTCCCTCGTTTCTTTGTCATTCTCCTTCCCTACATCTGTATTTATGCCTTGATTGATATTTAATTCTTCCATTTACCTCTCATTCTCCATCATATAGTGTTTACTTCCTCGTTGTACAGGCTGTTCTCTACAAACCATGCTATATGTTGAACGTTTTCTGTTGTTAAATTATTCAATTTAATTTCACTTTAGTCCATCACACAAACCCTTACTCATTGACAGAAATACCAATTACCAACTTTATTTATGAAGCACTTTATGCACCGGACAGGACCAAACTGCTGTACATAATCATAGAATACAATAAATTATAAAATAGAAAAAAAACGAGTGTAAAAATACATATTATTATACAAAGAGAATAAAACAAAGTAAAACCTTTCAAATTGTGCCAAAAGAAGAGACCTGTCTTATGCTCAGAGGCAGATCATTCCACAGATTAGGAGCTGCCACAGAAAAAGCACGGTCAGAAGAAATAATATGATGATTTTTAAAATTTTTATATACATAACATTGTTCACTATAAATCTCAGATCCCTTAACATGACTAATTAATCAGCCAATAAGGTGGAAGTAACTTTGGCAATTAGCTATCCAGACATGCTGACTAGGGTTCATTAAGCTGGGGCCAGTGTCTTAAAATCTTACATTGTACCGCAAGGACAAAAGAAAACACTATCCTGTGTATTAAGTTGCTGTGTTTGTTGTTTTTGAATATTTAAATATGCTGCTGTTCTATGATTGGGGGATGCCTGAGACTGCTAATTCTTTATCTGAGGTGGAAGACAGATTTTTGGAGGGTGCTGCTTACTTTCCAGCATTAATCCTCTGCCTTTACCAACTATGCCTTAGTTAGAACACCTGTTCGATGTGTGGATTCCAGATTTCTGCTTCTTTTCTTAATTGGAAGATAAATTATTCTGTTATTTTTGTTAATCTGGTCATCTCGTGTACTTGAGATTTTTTTTGTTAGTTATATTGGCTCACCCTAAAATTTCTAGTTAAAATAGGTTGTAAACCTGTAAAACTAATTTGCATACTAAATAATTCATCTTAAAATTTGAACCTTGTTTCTATGGCTACTTGAGGTCTGAGAGATAGATCTGTTCATTACGGTCTAGAAACCCATAGAACACACACACACATTTATATAAATAAGACTAAACCAGATTTCTGATGCTTTATTCTTATTCAATATTCTGGTTTCTTATATTAGATTTTAATATGAATTTATAAAGAAACAGATTGTTTGAAGTTAGCATTAAAATACATTAATGAAGACGCCTCAATTGCTAAAGAGGCTTTCGAAGCATCCGATGCTGGTCCAACAGATTCACTAACCTCCTCTTCCCCACACCCATTAGACAGCTGAACTGTTGAGAAAACTCTAAATAATGTCAAACATGACAACACAGAACCAAAACACTGCAAAATTGCAACATATATATTTAATGCTCTGAACTTCCATATCAATGTGTTGTTGTTTTTTTTGCACCATGTCTTTTTTCTCCCACATAGTTTACATTTGATCCCTGCTGCACTTTAAGAAATGGCAATGTCATGAGAGCTGTACAAAACTAAATTTTGTTTGGTATACACTGTGGTTATACAAAATCGAAATAAAAGTTAAATTCTAAGTTAATCTTTTAGTAGCTTACAAAGCTATGTCATCATCTGGGCTTTCTGAGTGAATGTTAACTTTAGCGTAAGACTATTATACATGTTTTCTGAAAAAAAAAAGTATTTATATTTATTAGAACAATTATGAATAATTTTTAATACCAACTGACCAAAAAATATGGGAAGATAGATCAGATTTCTAATTTTCTTCTGACACAATGTCATTAAATAATCAGGGGTAAGCTGTGCAAAGAGCCATTTTGCATATCAATGTCATCCAAAGCTAGGTATACATCAAGAAAAAGTTTTCCCAAAATGCCAACAAGTGTAAAGACAACAGGAAACAGTGATTTGGATTTCATTTGCCTTCATATTTCTTGTTTTTTTTCTACCCTTCTTTAGCTTTGAGTTACCAGCATGTTCCCATCCAAGCCTTGTCTGCATTTATAAACAGCCCATTTGTCTGCTGGTGTGACAGTACAGCTGATATTGTTGTTAGATTTGGTAGGTGACAAATCATCTCTATAGCAAATCCTGCTACAGGTGGTGGCAGGGGAAATATGCTTGATTGTAAAGATAATGCTTGTCGACAGTAGAGACAATAAATTGTTTGCAGGTTCATTCCTTTTTGTTGACTGTAAAAAATAAGAGTTATCAGCTCACAGCCTTTAGAGTCTAGCTTTACCTTATCAGTTTATAGTGACTAAAGCTAATGTGGTTTGACTTTTATCGTCAGTATTTAGGACATGACTGGTGGTGGAAAAGATAATAAAAGTTACGGTCTGAGTTTGAGGACGACCGATGCAGCAGGCACATTGTGAATACATATAAGCAGCAAAGATAATAAAAATATTGCTGAGATTAAGGGGAACTACATGAAGCAAAGGTACTGTAGGTTCAGTTAGGGCAAACAAAGAACAGGTTTGGATCATGATATCAAGTCTCTTTCCTTCCATCTGTGGGATGATAACAAACATCCCAATGAGTCCATTAACGACCCTTGCAGGGTGAATAGTACGAGCAACAAAACAGAACAAAAACTGTTCCGGAGGTGGTTCTATAGAGGCATAAAGTGCAGAAAGATGGCGATGGTAAGGTAAGAACTTCATAGGCTAGTGATTAAGATTCATGGAGAATACATAGATAACAATGCTAGAAGGTCTTTAAAGTAGCTCAGAAAGCTGGTACCCACAGAGGAGTTCAGGAACAATCAACCTGGAGAACTCAAGTCCTAAAACAAAAACTGGTTGACACTGAGGAATGAGAAATTTCACCTGGACACCCCCTTTAGAGGCTTCAGGAATCGGGGAGTCAGGCGGCAGCAGCA